CTCTTAGCCACCTCATTTTGCTGAGGTGTATAGGTACATGAAGTTTGATTGATAATGCCATGTTGTTCCAAATACTCTTGAAGCAGTGTATACAAGTATTCGTGACCATTATAAGAACGAAGAATCTTAATGTGTACACCAAATTTGTTGCGAATTTTAGCATAAAATTTTTGGAAAATGGAAAACAATTCACTCATTTCTTTCATTAGGTAAAGCCACGCCATCCTTGAATAATCATCAACAAAAATAACAAAGTATTTGTAACCATTGTATGACTATTTTGTTTGAACCCCAAATATCTGAATGAACTAGAGAAAAAAGGACTCGACATACGATTATCAACCCTAGGACTAAAGGGAACACGGTGATGTTTCCCCAACTGACACGACTCACAATCCAAAACAGAAAGATGACTCAACGACGGAATAAGTGACTTCAGTGCTTTAAGCGATGGATGACCAACTCTACATTGCCACTGAAGAGGAGAAAGAGATGTTTGAAGAGCTGTTGACGAACCACCACCACCACCATCAAGATAATACAGTCCGCCAGCTTCATGCCCTCCACCAATCTTCATCCCTATCTTGAGATCTTGAAAAGCACAAGAAGAGGGGTAAAAGGTAATAGAGCAATTAAGAGACTTGGTTAGCTTAGTAACGGACATAAGATTAAAAGGGGATTTGGGAACATACAAAACTGAGAGCAGGGATAAAGGGTCTATGTCAACATTACCAACACCACAAATGGAGGATGTGGAACCATTAGCAAGGGTAACCGAATGTGATGTGGAGCATTGTGAACGGGAGGAAAACACACTTGGAGTCCCATTCATATGATCGGAAGCTCCAGAGTCGATAATCCAGGAGGTGGGTTTGGATGCCAGGCAAGCCATATCTGAATGTGCGAGAGTAGCTGTATTCTGTTGAGAGGTGGCCTGGATAAACCGTTCATACTCATCATCTCCTTCTCGGAGACATTCGTAGATGTAGAGGGCATCTGATCGGCTTGTTGGATATCCTGTCTTGAACTATCATCACTGGCCATTGCATGATTTGCCCAAGTTGAAGGTGGGCCATGCAAATCATAACAAAAGTTAATGGTGTGCCCTTTCATACCACAATGTGTACACCTCCTCGGACCATTACTACGCCCTCTGCCATGAGCTCCTGAATTTCGACCTTCAACACGTCCAGCACCACAAGATCATACATGGATCCACTACTACTCCCCGAGCTCCACCTCTAACACCACGGCCTCCCCCTCTCGTCATTGCAAAGATAGACCTGTCAAAGATATTAGAATTCTCTATGGGCCCAACAAAAATCCTCCGAAGATGGACAAACACCTGTTCTAGAGATGGAAGGGCTGACCCTCCTAGTACCTATGCTCTCACTGGTTCATATTCAGATTTCAGCCCTACTAAAAATCTGTTCACATCTAGTTTTTCTCTCTGTTGTTGTTGAATCTTAACATTAAAAGTGAGGGGATGGTACACATTCAATTCATTACAAAGGTTCCTCATGCTAGCATAGTACTCCTCAAGACTCTGATTACCCTGTTGCAGATTAAAGTACTCCTGGTAAAGCTGATATACTCTAGTAGTATTGTCTTGTCCCGAGTACAATTTCTTGGCATGGTCCCAAATCTCCTTGGTTGTATCTAGGAACATAAAATTCACATTGATCTTGGGTTCCATACTATTCCATAACCATGTCATAATTTGTGCACCCTCTTGTTCTCAATCACTATACTCTTGAGAGTCAACGAGAGGTTTTCTTCTCTTGCATGCTTCACTTCCTTCTTAGCTCTGAGAAAAACCTAGATAGATTTCGCCCAAGGCACATAATTTTCCCCATTCAACTTGATAGAAGTCATCTGAACATTCAAGTAGTCGGTGGGAACCATAACACTAGATTTGTGTTCACTACTGTCTCCCATATTTGAATTCCTTTTTTTTTTCCGTATATCAAACTTCTTAATCACTTTTCACCACACTACACACTAGTGAAACCACCTACAGTCACAATTTTCAGCAATACCCGCCGCTGATTTCTTCATTTTCAGCACAAAGCTACCACACAACTACCTGAATACACACCATAGCACTAGAAACTCACCAACCACTCAATTCGCACTGAAACACACATATGTCCCACCTATTTGATCACCAAAAACCAACCTAACACTCGACTGTCCACTGCACCACCCAAAACAGCCCCCTTCGTACCATCAATTAGAGGGCTTCCTACAAACCACCACAAACACCCACTAAACTACTGACAGGAGGCATGAAAACCTCCAAAGGGAAAGGGCAATCACTCTTTTTCAGCCCTTTTCCCTATCTCCAACGGATGATGAAGAAAACTGTAAAACCCTAGGCTGAATGGTGATAGAACAGAATTTTGGGCAGATCTGATTTTGTCACAATCGCTCTGATACCATGATAAAGTTCAGACCTGCACTAGAATTCTGTTAGAACTAGAGGAAGATAAGAGGGGATAGAAGAGAGAAGAAGAGAAGAGAAGAAAGGAGAAGGAGAAAACTGGTTAGAACAAAAGAGGAAAAGTCTCTCTCTCTAGTTGGCCAGGTTATATTTATAGTTTTTTCTAATAAATAAAACAAAAGACTATTATGTCCCTACTTAAGTATGGGCCACATCACTTAACATAAACATTACACATCATCTTAAACATAAATAGAAGGACTAAACTACCCCTATACAGTCGACACTAACATTAATATTATGTTTTTATCAGAGCCTTGTATGTCTCATAAAGTGAAAACACCCAATGCAGATGTGTAAAAAGGGAGAGGAGTCATTGAAGAAGAATGCGGTAATATGGCTAGAAAGGATTAATGAAAATGATGGGGAGAGGAAGTGTGTTAAGGTCATTCTTAATGCAGTTAAAAGATTTAGGTACCAGAAAAATTACCAAACTGTGTGAGTTTCAAAGGTTTTTGCTAGATTAAGGGGAGACCTATTTGGGGTTGGAATTAATAAAAGGGTGAAGAAGACAAGAAGAGCTATGAAGAGAAAAAATAGATTTATTTTTCTACAGATGAAGGTTTGAAGTGAAAGTTATTGTTATCTGCATGTGGTAAGAGGTTTTGATGGGTGGTTTTCTTGGTTGGACTCTGGGAAAGATGGGAGGGGCTTTGGTTGCATAATTTTGGGTTCTGTATGTGGGAGATTTTAAGAGTTTAATTGGGTTTTAATCTGTAATTGATGGTTGTTTGGGTGATGCCTTATCACCTATTGTAATCCTTGTTATTTTCTTCGTTATTTATCTTCAAAAAAAATCATTGAAGAAGAAATCAAATTGTTTTAATTCCTAGACTGGTGGAAATTTGATAATTGTTTTGTTAATTTGAATTTGATTAGTTTGAGTTTTTTTTTTTCCTTTTAGTCTTAGGGGGTCATAATAACTTAATGTATCTTTTATAGATAGTTTTAGAATTTTGAAGTGTTATGGTGATAATCATGTCATTTTTCTAGGGGTCAGGACTTGCCTGTTTTGTATGATTTTGATGCCATTATATAGGCTGTTGAGTTATCTATTTATCTATCCCATGTCCTATCAAATTACGATCTTGTAAATCTGACATGTATTTGGGGGGGGGTCTACCTTAGATTTGTCTTTTGGGTATTTAGTTTTACTATGGTTACTAATGAGTATTTCAAGTTGTATTATGATTTTGATTCCAATTCATCTGTCCTTATGGGTCATTTATGTGTTATTAGATCCTATGTAATTAGGAGTCAATAAAAGGGAGATCCTTGCCCTTGTCTTGAGTCTATAAATAGTCTTTTTTTTTTGATAGGAAACAGTAACTTTCATTAGATGAAACCAGAAGAAACAACTGTCACTTTCCAAAGTAAAAGGTGACCCCTGAATAACAAATATCTTACAACACTGCACAAAACAAAACCTCCCGATTCACCCCTTGTTTTGCTAGGTTGTCAGCTAAAGCATTTGCTGACCTCCTAGACCAATACACTTTTGCACCCAGCTCCCTTGTAAGGCTCAATAGTTAAAAATCAGAAGAGTTGATTTGATGAATAGAAGTTTGGTGAATTTTGGTTGCACCCAGATACATGTGTTTCTTTCCACTAATTTCTTCTTGAGAAATCTTCACTTCACCTCACAAATTTTTATTTGTTTGCTGATTTTATTTAACAAAACCTCTACCTATGATACAGTACTTCCCCTTTGTATTGTGTCAAATTCTCCCACCTGTCACTATTCCCAACTGTACAAACAGATAGAAGAAAGGGAATTTTGAGATTCCCCCATCTCAAATTCCCCCTTGTATATTCTAACAGCAAGGTTTCTTCTCTTTCTTCCTAATTTTTGAGTGTTTCATTGCTGAAATCTAATTTTTCATTCTTTGGTGAGAGTGGGAAGTAAGCTCTCTACTTGCTTCTCAATCTTTATTCTTCATCTTTAATTACCCTAGTCACCTTCCTTCACCCTAGAGAGCCTGCTGTTAGATCTGAAAGTTGTAGGAACCCTATGTGTCTGCCATGAACCCTGCTTTTCCCTGGGAAGAGCCTGATGCAGGGAAACAGGCTCCATTGGGTGTCTCCATTGTGACCTGGGTGACCATGATTCAAATCTTGGAAACAGCCTCTGTATGTGCAGGGGTGGGTATGGCTGCAGACATCTGTCCTTTCCCAGACCCTGCATTGGCGGGAGCCTTGTGCACTGGGGTGCTCTTTTTTTTGATAGGTGATGGTAGGAAGGCCTCTTTTCTTCTTCACTCATATCACTTGTGTTCACAAAGGTTAACTGTGTAATATCATGTACTTTTTTTTCATATCATACTTATTGTTTGTTTTATAACACATCTCACAATTACTCAATGAGCTTAATGGTGATTTTTCCAAACTGATCAATGATCTTGATGTCTCTTTGAATTATGTGCACTTAGTCAGTTAGTTGTACTGTACCTGTAGTGCACTAATATCTTATGCATACACATGAATGCATGGGTTCCAGATTTGCCATGGTGCAACGTATTTGAAGGTGGATAAAATCAACAATGTAAAAGATAATTCTCCTGCTTTACTTTTCCAAGGTATGTGATATGCAATTCCATTCTTAGAGAATTGGTAGGTATCTTTGATCTCATCTTATAAATAATAATAATAATATTTGCACTGTTCCTTGCAGATAATGGAGGGGGAATGGATCCTGAAAGCATGCGGAAATGTATGAGCTTGGGGTACTCTTCAAAGAAGTCAAAGGAAACTATTGGACAATGTAATTTTCTGGGGCATGTGGTGTCATTAACTTGCAATTAGGTTTGAAGAAGTATTGGAACCTTAGATGAAAATTTGTCTACCCATAGTTTCATTTTCAAGGTTCTGGTTTGTGAGCCAACTTCTAATTTGACATGAATAAAGCACTGGCGTTTTGACTACCATTGGACAATGTAATTCTCTTGGGCATGTACTGTCATTAGCTTGCAGTTAGGTTTGATCTGATATAGAAGTATTAGAACCTTTACTGAAATTTTGTCTACCCATATCTTCATTGTCAAGGTTCTGGTCTTAAACCAACTACTAACTTGACATGAATAATGTAGTGGCCTTTTTACCATGTAATAGATATCTAGCCAACAAAAAAAATTTCAGCAACCACAGACCAAATACAACTAATATGTATCAAATGGAATTATTTGATTGTTTCTGATAATGATAACTGTGTTATTATTTCATGGTAATTGATAAACTAGCTTGCAAAAACTAGTCTTAGAGAAGACCCTGGCTATCAATGTTTTCTTCAAATGGTGGGGTTAGGTGATAGAACCAAGCATTTAACAGGAAAGTTTATCTCTTCTATGTCATATGACCTCATTGACAAACTACATTGTTTAGACTTGACAAGAATTACAAGTAAATACATACAAGCAAAATAACAAATTATAATGCTAATACTTTTTTTTATATTGTTTATAATTTCTTGTTTTGTCATATGTGCTTTTTATGGTAACATATTGTTTTCTTGGTAAAATACCAGTAAAAAGTCGGAACAGAGAGAAGAGAGAGGAGAGAAAAAGATTTGGAGTCAAAAAACGTTGGCTGGCGGTGCCAGCTTCTATATATATATTAGGGTGACCCAAGTATAATAAAAGGAAAGGAAAAATTACATATGTGCCCCTGTGGCACTAAACTGCTGACTTTTGTACAGTTTTAACACATTATGAAAGAGAAACAGAAGAAAAACAGCCTTTTGAAATGAAAGGACTGTTTAAAATATTGCAGAAAATTGATTGAAAGTAGTAGAAATCACGTTTCAAGAAGAAAGAAGAGGAAGAAGGTGGCGGCAATTAGGGTTCAGAGAGAGATCGAACATAATCTCCTCGTACACCCCTAATCCCATTTCGTTAACTTAAACTTTAGTAATTTACAGAGTGGCCCCTGGTTGGGCAGAAAATAAAAAAAAACATAACATAAGAGAAATAAAGGCCCAAATAAGGCCCATTACAGCAAAGAACATAAAAAGATAAAAATGGACAAATAGCTTATGGGCCATTCGGCCCATCTTCTCTACACTCCCCCTCAAGCTGAGCATAGATGTCAATCATGCCCAGCTTGCCAGTATCATGTTGAAGTTTAGCCTTGGTAATGCCCTTGGTGAGGAAATCAGCTAACTGCCCTTCAGAAGTGATGAAAGGTAGGCACACTTCTCCAGAAGCCACTCTTTCTCGAATGAAGTGTTTGTCAACTTCAATATGTTTGGTTCTGTCATGTTGCACTGGATTGTGAGCAATGTTGATGGCAGCCTGATTATCACAATATAACATCAATGGCTTATCATGCTCAATACCCAGTTCCTCCATCAAAGATCGAAGCCATAGCAATTCAGAAACTCCATGAGCCATGGCTCTATATTTAAGTTCGGCTGAAGATCTGGCAACAACTGATTGTTTCTTGCTTCTCCAAGAGACAATATTACCTACCACCAAGCTACAATATCCAGAGGTAAATCTTCTGTCATCAATATTTTTGGCCCAATCAACATCTGTATAGGCTTCAAGTTTCATATGGCCATGCTTAGCAAATAGAATTCCTTTTCCAGGAGAACCCTTCAAATAACACAGAATTTGCTCTACTGTTGCCATGTCAGTGTCCCTGGGAGCATGCATGAACTGACTAATGCAACTTACAGCATATGCAATGTCTGGCCGAGTCATGCATAGATAGAGAAGTTTCCCAAGTAGCCTCAGGAAGACTCCCTTACCTTTCAACAATACTCCATTTGAGGCAGAAAGTTTATGACTCATATTAATAGGAGTAGCAACTGGTCTAGCACCCATCTTCCCTGTTCCAGAGAGCAAGTCAAGTACATACTTTCGCTGAGAGATAAGGATCCCATTCTTTGATCAAACAACTTCTATGCCAAGAAAGTATCTAAATTCCCCCAGATCTTTGATCTCAAACTCTGTATGAAGGAAATATTTAAGATCATGAATCCCTGATACATCATTACCAGCTACAACAATATCATCAACATACACAATCAGGTAAACTGCTAAAGATCCTCTCCTCTTCACAAAGAGGGTATGATTAGATTGAGTCTATACATAGCCAAAGTTAACAAGGGCAGCCCTAAACCTTTCAAACCATGCCCTAGGGGACTGTTTAAGTCTATAAAGAAATTTCTTCAGCTTGCAGACTTTCCCTTTCATATTTGTTTCATACATTCCTGGAGGAAGAGACATATAGACCTCTTCATGTAACTCTCCATTCAGAAATGCATTCTTTACATCCAGCTGGTATAGTGGCCAGTCTGAGTGAGCAGCCAGAGATGGAAGAACTCTCAAAGAACTCATCTTGGCAATAGGAGCAAAGGTCTCTAGATAGTCAATCCTATAAGTCTGTGTATAACCTTTTGCAACCAGCCTAGCCTTGTACCTTTCAATGGTGCCATTAGCATGATATTTGATGGAAAAAACCCACTTACAGCCTACTGGTTCCTTCCTTTCAGGTAAATCAACCACTTCCCAAGTGTCATTCTTGTGTAGGGCATCAATTTCTATTCTCATAGCATCCCTCCATTCTGGAATAGTAAGAGCTTCTGACACAGACCTGGGTATTGGGTTAGAAGCAACAGAAGAAAGATAGCCAAAATATGAAGGAGAGAGCAAACTATAAGAAAGGTGTTTGGAAATGCAATGTGTAGTACACTTCCTTTTTCCT